AGATCCACTCGTTTTCAGGATCGTCATGCAACCGGACACTCCACACCAAAGATCGACTCTCAGCAGGATTATGTCCTGATCGCCCTACAAGAGGAAAGTGGCAAGACCGTTATGAAGTTTAAACGAAAGTTTGAAACTTGCGATACGGATGACAATTCAATCAAGGTTAATTTTTAACTTTCCATGTAATGAATAAAGGCAGATAAAGTATTTACAGTTCATTCAAATTTTGGGCATGTGTTTGGATCGTGAGGTCGTCGTCTATTTGCTCCTGTAAAAGAAGAAAATATGTCCTTACTCAAACAATCTTGATGCGAGGAAAGAAGACTGGGCGAAGCAAACGATAGTTAGGCTGACAGGTAAACTTCAGCTTAGAAATGCTCTGAAAGGACAAACAGGCTTTTTGCTTACTGCTGTTTATTGGAAGTCTCCTCGCTCGAGTAAAAAACTTTTTTAAGGGAAACTTTTCAATAGAAAAGAAGAGATGCTACCTTCATCGATTCTACGCAAGGCCCCACGCAATATTTTAGCCCACCGCATATTCGTAACCCAGTTGTAATTTTTAGTCAAACTGTAATTTTGAAAACTCGATACTGAGGTACTTTATTTTGACTCCGTTTTTAGACTAATTGCACTAAAGATGTAGAGAACAGTTTATTTATTCTTTGGAGCAGATGATAAAGTCTTTGTATTCTATTGCAGGAAGGCACAACTAAAGTCATCTACGCTATGCACCCAAAAGATCCAGAATCTGAAGATAATATTCCAATGCACACCATAAGAGGAGCAAGAAGTGTGTTTTTACTCAACGCTATTAAAGACGTGCCCAAGCTTCCGGCTGATGCCAAGACGTTCGCCTTCCTTATGAACAAGGTAACAGTTGTTGTGACCCGGCAGAGTGTCGAGAAGTTATTGAAAGCCTGGTGAAACCGAACCAAAATAATTAAAACGGCTAGTCATAAAATAAGCGAGATATCGCAAAGTTAAAACAAGCAAATTACGTGCAGAGGGGGAAAACGCGAATGACAATGTTGTGACCGTTTTTTTTCCCCCTTTATTTGCTATCATTCATCCTTATTTTATTATCTTACAGACACAATTGCCACCTAAACGTACAACGTACTATTACCGCGTGTTCCAGTTTCCAACTCTACCTGGGAGACGGGACGTTATTAGGGTAAAGTTATTCTCCTTTACCATTTTTTTTTCACTTTGCAAAGTCGTTATCACTTGTCTACAACTTGATAAGTAGTTGTAAACCTATGCAGTTGTACTGTTTGATTGTCTCCACGCATATATTTTAATACTGTTGAAAAGGCTTTGAAAGAGCTAAGAAAAACATGACTTCGTTCCCAGAGCCTGGGAGCAATGTCTAGAAACAATGTTTATAAACAATTTCGATGAAAATACGGTCTATGTGAGTTATTGGAACCAATTAGGTTTAGGAATCTTGATTTTCCCTTCAAATTTAGGAGGGACGTGGAGAAGAAATTGCTTGTGGAAAGTTCCATGATTAATGCTCGAGAGAGGGTTGGTCACCAACACTTTTCATTAATACTTAGACTTAACAAAATAAATTCTACTGGGCATGCAAATTGCTTTTGGAACCATTGTCAGACGAAAAAGCGAATAATCTTCATTGCCATTGATCAAACTGGGTTGGTCAAGTTTGAAGTTTAAGTTGTTTCTCTCCGATTTCCTTCTCAGATCGAACCTGTTATCCAAGAAGGTAATGAAGGAATTGTTCACCATATATTACTTTACCAGTGTGATCACAACAATTTCCCTTCGAGCAATCTCAGCTATGAAGGAGTGGGTAATTCCCCTGACATGCCGCCTGCTGTGAAAAGTTGTACTGGACCTTCCACCATTGCCGCCTGGGCGATTGGAGGCGAGGTTTGTGTCTCCTTACAAAACATTTAAGCTATAGTTTCCAACTCAATAACCCATGTTAGAAGATGTTAGATAAGTATGAGGAAAGTCCTAAAATTTTGAATCGAGGGTGCTTCTTATTAGGGGTGTGAGGCTGCCGGAAAATTTTCTCATCACTTCTTGCGTGAGGGTATATTTCAAACAAGTAACCTCAGCGGCCAATCGGAACAATTAACCTTCAACTCCCAAGATCTCATTAGTAATTCTCCTTACTGTCTGTGATACAATTCATATGATGTGAGTTTGGAGAATTTGGAATTGGATCAACCAATAATCCTCCAATTGATATTTCTCTTTATTCTTATTACTTGTCTGCTTGATATTTTACTGATAACATAAAGAGAAGTTTTGTCTTGGTCTCTAGCGGGATTTGAAGGGTTAAGGGAAATTATTCAAGGAGCTAACGAGAATCTAGTATAAAACGCGGAAAACTATTTGGGCGCGGGAAAACGCGACGGACCAAATCGGGATAAGTTGCGGTTTTGCACCACCTTGGTTAAGAATACATTGCGTTTTTCTTTTTCGTTTTTGTTTTTCTTTTGTTTTGTTTTTGTTTTGGAGTGGTTTGTTTGTTTGTTTTCTTAAACCGAACAGAGAGCAAAATATATTAAAACTAAGACAATCTCTATAGCTCAATTAATCCTTTACACCCTAACATCAGTATGCATTTTCTCCACACTGCTCCCTATGCATTTCCTATGGTATTCACAAAGAGAATTTGTTTAACAATCAAGAGCTTCTTTAGTTGGTGATCATTTCCTTTATTCTCATGACCTCAATGTTTGCTTTAGGGGTGATACTGATAGGAGAAAATAGTTGCTAATCACTCCTAGGGGTTAAGGGTTATGAAACGGCTCCATCATCGCAAGCACCATTTGTTACATGTCTTCCTCTGTGACTAACAAATGTGATGATAACTGAATCCACAGACCTTTTATTTTCCTGAACACGTGGGATTTTCCATTGGAACAAATGACAGTCCAAAGATCGTAGTAATGGAAATGCATTACGATAATCCTTTACAAAAAACAGGTAATCTGTGAAATGAAAAAAAAAAAGTTTTTCATTTGTATCTGTTTGTTTCCTTTCAATGTCTTTAACTCACTGCCGTTCCCTTTTCGTTGCAGGCATTTTAGACAGTTCTGGTTTGCGCTTTCATTACACAAGTCAACGTAGAGAGTACCAAGCTGGTATTTTGACCGTTGGATGGCTTGTGTCTAGAAGTATGATCATTCCGCCTCATCAAGAAAGTTGGGAAACACAAGGCTATTGTGTTGAAGATTGTACAAAAGAGGTTAGTAAAAATGAAGAAAAACTGTTCAGTGCTGCATGCGCCCCTGAAGCTGTGTCCAGAAAGGCAGCGAGTCTGACACTGGTACGACAGGCCTTTCTTGAACTTCTTGGACTGTTTGGCAAGAGAAATCCACGAACAGAGCATAATTTTTCAGGTTTATTATTCCTGCTACTACAAAATATGAATAAAGGGAGTAAGTTTGTAAAGAAACTGTGGCGCAGCGTCGGTGGGAGAGTATAACATGGTAATTTGGTATTATCGACTGAATTGATAACGTAAATTGGCTACCGTAAAGAGTTTCAGAGCTGACGTTTCGAGTGTTAGCCCTTCGTTAGAGGTAACGGCGAAGGGCTAACGCTCGAAACGTCAACTTTGAAACTCCTTGCGGTGGCCAATTTACGTTATCAGTTCAGTTGATAATATCAAATTACCTTTTACTACAAAATACGATTTGCTTCATTTATTGGTTTCCCCACTCTTTTTTTTTTTGTTAACTTCCGCCACCACCCTCCCCTCTCCCCCTTCAACCTTCCATCTACGCAAATCTGTGAGGCCTTAGAGTTGCGTATGAAGACGTAATAAAGAGATGATAAAATATTATTTCTCAGGGTATGAAAGGATCCTCTTTATCCGGCGGAGGAATCAAAATATTTGCCTCTGCTCTCCACACGCATTTGGCTGGTAAGTATCAGCTACTAAGCCAGCACATTCTTTTTTCCCATATGATATCATGTTGTCTGCTTGAATGCTGAAAAATAGTCACTAGAAACTGACATGACTCTGTTTGCCTCACATTGCACTGAATCACTGTACATATTCATAACAAGGCCAGGTATAAATAAACGAAGATCACACCCTCAGCGTCTCATTCCCGCTTCCCTCTTGCAGGTCATGCAGCGTACACTAAGCATGTCAGGGATGGTGTCGAACTTCCAGAGATTATCAGAGACGATAACTATGACTTCAACTTTCAAGTGAGTTTGTTATGATTAACTAGGGGAAAAAACTCGCAACTAGACTTTGACAATTCGACAATCGTTTCATTCACATAAATTTCTTGTCAATTCAGTGTTTCATTAATGTCCTTGTTTCTCCCAATTGTTTCTCTTGATGACTGTAGGAGTTCCAAATTCCAGCTGAGGAAACCACAGTCATGCCGGTAAGAAAGAATTTTGATCAGTGCAATCGATATTGTGTGTGTGTAACTGTGTTCTTACCCAAACCCTGCTGTGGAGACCTTTAAACGCTTGCACACCGATACTACTGAATCCGCTGACATTTTGGCGACCACATCTACGGTATTCGGGCCCTTACAATGATGCCTCCTCCAAGAGCCGGTCAGGATTTTCTGGAAAACGCACTTTTAACGTGGAAATCTGAAGGTCCCCACAACTTATGACCAGAGTGTTTACATTTTCCTTGGAAAGGTTCCTACAGTGGTGTGCTATGATGAAGTGTACACTTTTCTTGTTTGTTGATGATGTAAATGAAGATGATAACTTTTAGTCATTTGTTCGCCCACGATCGTGAGATCGATTGTTCTTTCTGCTGATGTTCAGAAGACTGATAATTACAGTTCTGATCTTACATTCCTTCCTTATCGTCTCTTATAAATTAGTCACGTTTCTTTTTCTTTCTTTTATTTTTATTATTTTTTTCAGGGAGACACGTTGATAACTGGGTGCAAATATCATACAAAGGACCATCCAAAATCCGTACGTCTCTTTTTTTAACTTCTTTATAACTTGAAAGCTCCGGTTTGAGAACGAACAATCTGTTACCAGAGCTAAGTCTCATTGAGAAGGATCAAAGCTTTTGTTTCTTGACAGATAGCCGTGATTCCTAAGCGCACGAGTGAAATGATTTCTTATCACTGGAGAAGTAAAAGATAGGGAAGGAAGGGGTTAAGGTTATTTCCGTGACCCCTTGTTCCGCCATTTCTGTTTTTCGTTAATCGCGATTCACTTGAAAACCGATCTGTGAATCATGAGTAGAGTGCACTCCGTGAACAGTCAGCAAAGTCCGCTCACTAAGCTCCCGGAAAATTACCAATGGACGGTGTCAAATAAGACACTCAAGTCCGTAAAGAAATGAAAAAATGCATCCACGTTGATCTCCAATATTCCCTTACCGCCCAAATAAAAAATGTCTACGCTGTTGGTCATATCAAGGATGGCTTTCCCACAGTTATTTGCGCGCAATTTACCGAGGAAATTTATCCAGTTCAGATGTTGTGCTTCTGCCGTGCCGAGCTTCATCGTACTTTCCTCATCATACTGAATAATGCTCTTGCTCGGCAGCTATTCAAACGTCGTGCCTCTCTCGCGCCAAACACTTTTTTAATATTTGCTTGTTTTGTTTTTTTCCAGGGCGGTCTGGGAACGAACGAAGAGATGTGCCTATCCTTTCATTACTACTATCCTAAAATTAATTTGTCTAACTGCTTATCGTGCCAGTGTTCAGCTGTGGAAAATTGGTATCAATCACACTACTCGTAAGTATCGTCTTTTAAACATCGTAATTAGCGCCGAGCTAATACTATCGAATCATGAGAAACTGGTGTCGAGTGTTCCATTTTAATGGTGCTTATCAGAGGTTCGTTGCTCCCGTCGAGTCTGACAACCAACGTCCTCACGGTAAAATTGACCAATCAGTTTTCACGAACGAGACCTGTTACAAACGACAAACAAGAAGTTGGTCATGTGATTACTTAGCTCGATAACAGTTAAGTGGTAAAACGTCTGCGCGTGTGCGAAGATTGAAACACATTAAATCTAGGGAGGCGGTCTGACGTACCGCTTTCATGGTAAACAACCTCACTAACTAGTTAGTCGCGGTGTTTTGAAAGCGTGTAGACTTTTTGTTTCTTTAAGTTCGAAACTAATTATTTAATCAATAGGATACCCTTATCCTTACCCTTTGAGCTCGGGAAGTTTTCCTTTCCTCACTCTTGTTTTAATATTTATCCATTAATAGTTCAATTTATCTTCATAGATTTTATGTGTCAGCGTTCTCTTTTCATAATTTCCTTTAAAGTTTTGCGCTGGAAACTAACGCGAGCCTGGCAAAAAATAGGCGGTGCCCATATGTATAGCTTTCGTTTGACCGCTGTGTTCCCACCGCTGTTTGGGAAATAGGCCCTCACTCCAAACACGAAACAGGCGAAAGTTGCTCTCAGAACAGCAAAGTCCCTTTCGGGAATACCCCTCATTCGGACGATCGCACATGATCGACTTTAAGTCCCACGTCAAAACGATTTACTGTACGCATCTGAGTTAGTGTTTCTCATCTTTCATGAATCCATGTAGGCAACATCCCGCAAAAAACAACTCTCTGTGGAACGATAAGTGGACTCCCGGACTGCGAGACAGTTATCGAGACACCAACGCTATAAATGCTCACTGCAGTGGTGTTGACGGAAAGGACCTGCCGGTGGGTATATCTTAAATTTCCTAATCATTTGATGGCCTTGTGAATAATTCGGGGGGGGGGGGGGGGGGGGGGGGGGG